AGGTAGGACGCCACCGCCTCTACCTGCAGAGGGGGAAACTGAGGCTCCCATCCCTTCCCCCGCCGGTGCTTGGGGTGCATCCGGGGGCACGTGCCAATCATCGGAGCTGCGGAGGCCAGGGCTGCCGCGTGTGAATCGCCTGCCCGGGCCTCTGACCTCAGGATGCAGGTGTAGGTGACTCGCCTGGAACAGTGGGTGCGGTGAGACGCCCTCCTTGTCCCACCTTGACTCTTTCTCCCACAGCACCCAGATGCTGGTGGGACCGGGTAGATTCCAGCAGACGGGTGGGTGCGTATAGTATTCAGTGGTGACGACGAGTGGGTGAGTCGGCAGGTGGGGGATGAGGATCAGCCGCTTCTAGACTTTGGCCTGGTGTCACTGGGTCACTGTCCCTTCCTGTGGCTCTCCCTCAGGTCGGACTGGTTTTTGTACGACTGCCGCCTCCTCAGGCACTCCGCACTTGGCCTCTTCTGCTGTGGGGTCTCCGTCTACTTAGCAGGTGTGTAGCGGGCAAGGGCAGGGGCTCGGTGCACACAGGTCTCTGGGGCCAGTCAGCCTGAGTTCAGGCTGCTGCTCCAACACTTTGTCTTGGATATGCTCTGCCTTAGTTTCCCTATCAATCAAGAGTGACGAGTGTCCCTGATGCTTACAATAGATAAGATTCTCCACTAAAGTTCATTATTTTTTCATTAGTACTACTGATCATGTAGGCCAGATTGGCCTGAAAGTTGCCTTCTGGCCAAAGCTGGCCTGGGACTTCTGGTCTTGCTTTCACCTCCCCAGCCTTGGGAGGACAGGCATATGTAGTGCCCTCAGAGGTCAGAGGCCATAAATCCCCTGACGCTGCAACTTCAGGCAGTTCTGAAGTACGTGGGTTATGGGAACCAATCCCGGCCCTCTGCAAGAACAGCAAGTGCTTAACTCCAGTCAGTCCCGGTCCTCTGCAAGAACAGCCTGTGTTCTTAACTCCGAGCCATCCCCCAGCCAGTTTTGACCTTTGCTTTTTCTTACTTGTTTTTTAGACAGAGTCTCATGTAGCCTGGGCTGGTTTCAAACTCTCTTTGTAGCCAAGGATGAGCCTGGGTTCCTGATCCTCCTAGGATGACAGGCAGAGTCACACCCAGTCACACATGCATGCCAAGCAAGCACTCTACCCAGGCCCTGAAAGGACTTGGTTTTGCTTTTACCACGTTGTGGCTGGAACCTAGGATCTAGGGCACCCTAGACAAGAGCCGTACCACTGAGGGGCCTCTGACAGAAGGGGCTGGAAAGATGGATAAGAGTGCTTACTGCTCTTCCAAAGGACTGGAGTTTGGCTCCCAGCACTCAAGCCAGGCTGCTCACAACCTCCTTGAAGTCCAGGAGATCTGACACCCTCCTCTGGCCTCTACAGGCACCAGCACAGAGTGGGCCGGGTGAAAAGTAATCTTTAAACAAGAAGCCCTGTTTTTTAGGGCTGGCTCACTGATTACTGTTAGCACAGTTCCTGGGACCCACACTTCCAGAGAACCTGCCTCCATGCTGTCCTCTGTCCTGCACACGTGCACGGGGGCATGCTGCACACATACAGTGAACAAATGCAGGAAAAATTCAAAGAAGTAAATAGTAAAATCCTGTCTGTATCCTTCCAGGCTGTGAGGCCGTGGGGGTCCTCCACCCCCAGTGTTTATAGGTGTTTTGTCTGCTTGTCTGTCTGTGTACTTGTTTGAGACCTGAGCTCAGAACTGTAGTCCCAGTTCCTTAGGAACCATAGTGCAGTGCTGGGAACCATGTGTTTAGTCATTTTTGCTGTTTGATTGTTTTGAGGATGGGGTCTTACCATATATCCCTGGCTATTCTGGAACTCACTCTGTAGACCAGGCTGGCCTTGAACTCAGAGATCGGCCTGCTTCTAATTTCCGAGTGCTGGGATTAAAGACATGAGCCACCATCCCTGGCCGGTTCCCTTATTTGGAGAAGGCCGTGATGGTGATGTGGCTTCCAAAGATGCATCTGCTTGCTCTGGCCCAGGGTTCTCTGCTGCTACTCTGTGTTTGAGGGATCTCCCAACCCCCAAAGACTTGGAGAGCAAATATTTGTTGAGTGAATAAGTGAGCCATTCCTTCCTCAGCACTGGCTATGTATGCCCTGCTGCTCTTCGAGATTGAGACAGGTGCAGCAGCTGCATCTATCCTGGGCTCAGGCGCCCTGGTCCTGGTGGCGGTGATGACTCACACCCTGCTCCGGGCTGTTCGGGCCACTCGCCAGGGTCTCCATGAGCTGTCTCCACCGTCCTTTGAAGATGAGCCGACCCGGCCTCCAGAAGACTCCAAAGCTGGCTGCAGGGCTCAGCACCAGCAGGGTACCCATTGCCAGACCCTCTCTGCCCCCTCCCAGGAGTCTGGGGACCCCCCTGGGCTCATGGCCACTGGTATCACATCCACAGTCCTGGGGAGAGCCAGTGAATTCAGTCTGCCTGCCCCCCCCCAGCCTCAGACACAATTGACTGGCAGGGGCCACTGGGACGGGGTCACTCACAAGATGCATAGCATGCTGGGCCACAGACCACTGGACATGGGAAACGATGCTACGCTGGTGTGAGCTGGTAATCTGGGGCAAGATGACAAGATGATGACACCACAGAGATAGGTCCAGCTCAGCTACTGTAGCCAGGGGCCTTCTTCCCTCTGAGTTTATGGAATCCTTGACTCATGGTCTAAAGGTGAAAAACAGCTGCCATTGTTCCAGCCTTTGCCTCCTTGCTAAGAGGGATAAACAAAGGCAGGGATGGGCCTTTGAGACCTTTGCCTGCATCTCACTGGGCAGACCTTGATACAGGGGAGTCTGAGGTTCTTTTATAGAGGGGAGAGGGTTGGCCTTAGGTTCTGACTCTCAGTGGCTCTCTATCCATTTTACAGATGAGGAAACGGAGGCCTCAGTAGGGACTGTGACTCACCAAGGTTCCCATTTCTGAGCATCAGAGCCTGAACTTGCACCCAGGTCCAGTAACCCCACCCCCATGTTCCTGGAAGAAGGCTCCAGCCTTAGACCTCCCTCTCCGACACTCCCTGGGAAGCTGTGGACGTTTGAAGTTCTTATGTGTGGAGGGAGCTCAGAGCAGCCCACAGTCAGGAGCATTCAGGGATGGCTGGAACCTTGCTGTGGGCTCAAGGCTGAGTGGGTCTCATTGCTGTGCCCCTCTTTCCTTAGCTGTAACACGGAGACAGAAGAGATGCAGGAAACTGCTCACAGTAGACCCTTAGTACAGATTAGCCATGTGTATTAGTTGCATTTGATAACAGCCACATAAGGAAGAAAAGGGCTTGCTCTGGCTCAGACTTCCCCATTTAACACCACTCCTGGTTCCAGTTCTGTCCCAGTCACTTCTGTGGTGATAAAACACCCTGCAAACCCTGCTGCTCAAAAGGGCAGGGACTTCTGGCCTACACTCTGAGGGTGGGGTCCGTCACAGCAGGGAAGGCCTGTGAGGCAGTGGGTCACATGGCCCCAGTCAAGAGGCAGAGAGGTGAACGCTGCCTCAGGGTCATCCAGTCATGGGCTGCTGCACACATTAAGTGTGGGCCACCCCACCTCAATTAACCAGCCTAGAGACCGCTACCGCACAGGCCCAGAGGCCTGACTCCTGTTGCTGGCATGTGTGAGGAAGCAGGAGACTGTCTCCTGAGGGGAGGATGATGGCCCACTGGTCCACAGAAGTCTCCATCCCTTTCCAAACTATACAACCCCAGGAATAAACTCAGATGGTGGTTTGCTTTGTTGATTTTGTTTTGCTTTTTTATTTTTATTTTTATTTTATTTTATTTTCGAGACAGGGTTTCTCTGTGGCTTTGGAGCCTATTCTGACACTCACTCTGTAGACCAGGCTGGCCTTGAACTCACAGAGATCCACCTGCCTCTGCCTCCCAAGTGCTGGGATTAAAGGTGTGTGCAACCACCTCCCGGCCTTGATTTCGTTAAGACAGGGTCTCACCCCGGTGTTGGTGGCGTACTCCTTTAATCCCAGCACTCGGGAGGCAGAGGCAGGTGGATCTCTGTGAGTTCCAGGCCAGCCTGGTCTACAGAGTGAGTGCCAGAACAGGCTCCAAAGCTACACAGAGAAACCCTGTCTTGAAAAAACAAACAAAGAAACAAACAAACAAAAACAAATCAGGGTCTCCTGTAGCCCAGGCTGCCTTTGAACACCCTGTGTAGCCAACGATGGCCTCGGACCCCTGCTGCTGCCTCCCTTCCATGCCTCTCAGTTTTCTGAATTGCTTCACCCTAGGGCCTCACTGGCCACCCCCTCCTCTGGTCCCCTCTTCTCTTCTTGAGCTCTGGAATTCTCCAAGGCTCTGACAAGAGCGAGCTACTGAAGGCTAAAGCCAAGACCTGTTCTCCCTGTGGGCACTGCCCTGGCAGCTGAATAGGGAGCCAAGATGGCTTGGCTCAGTCTCAGTCTTGGGATTGTTCAGGGCTGGCCAGGTAGGAGCCAAGCAGGCTGTTAGGAGATACCTGATCTGGGCGTGGCGGGACATGGCTGTCTCCTCTGACAGTCATGGCTAGAACTTTTTTTTTTTTTTTTTTTTTTTTTTTTTTTTTTTTTTTTTT